TTCAACTCATTATCTTCCGTTCATTATGTTCCCAATACATTCCAATAACATAATAAAAAACAGAAGACAGAAAAAACACATTTGAGCTGATTGACAGACATAATCAACTGGAATATCCATTCATTAGATCTAATTGAGTTTCGTTTTGTGTCGACTTAAATGAAAAACGAATTAGTTTAGGAGACAAAAAAGAAAAACGACCCACTAAATTTCAGAGCCAAAACAAATGGAGTGGATGAAGGTCAGGCCCAAATCTATTAGGTCAAATGACGAGATTGTCCCTTTTCAGTTGAAAGAAGACAATCTGACAAAAGTTCAAATGGTATATAATTCATAATGTCCCACCTTTGTTTTCTTCTTCCTTTTCATCTGAAACCCGAAAATTCTTTTGGAGCAAAAACCTTCCTCTTCCTCGTTTTTTTCTTCTCCTCGCCTCATTTTTTACCTTTTTTATTGTTTCGGGTACGCATAACAAATAGGTCGAAAGACACTTTTTCCTTTTCCTTTTCCAAAAAACGAGAAGGCCTTCCTTCTTTTTCTTCTCTCCGAAGCCTGACTCTTTTTTGTGCTCATTTGATTTGTAGCTTTTCAAGTGGCTTTTTTTTGAAACTCAAATTGTTTTCAAGAAACGAGACAACCAAAACTAAAAATCGCTAAAAACCCCTTTCTGCTCTTTTTTTTCATTTTGTATTTTTGAAACAACTTTCCAAAAGTCACAACACAATTTTCCATTTCAATGACTGTCAAATGGTTTGTTTCAATCTTTCGGCTACTCAATTATTTGAAATAAAATGGATTGTACCCGAAAAGCACCTGACAGAGTTTCCACTTTAGATCCTGAATTTTTCATGACATTGTATTTTTGTGTTGTAGTGTCTGGAATAGAGCATTTTCGGCGGCGGGCGCTGGAGTCGAAAAATGCGCTCTCAGGGTGCATGTTTATCTCTTTTGAATCGCTTTATTGGCACTTATTCGAATGTTCTTCGCATGTCGACTACCAACAAGAAATAGGCTCCTGAGAGTGAAAAAAGGTCGAACCAACCAGAATTGTTCTTTCAAACCTAGGAGCTAGCTACCTAAGGAAGCAGAGCTCATTGTAATTTTAGCTGAACTGCAAGGAGACTGGTTTTGACTGTAGGATTTTTAAACGTTCATAAAGTTTGTTAAAGCCTTCGAAATATCTTGTAATCATCTTTAATAAAAATTCTAATAGAAATAGTCCAAGAAACAGAGTCGTCCAAATAAGGAAAAAACTCGAACCTTTTTTCCACAATTCTTGAAAAAACTCCAGAGAAAGTTTAACTGAAACAACGATCTTACTATTAGGAATACAGTAAAAACTGTATTAGAAGGGAGGGCCCTTCTCGGAGGGCCCTTCTATTAGAGGGGCTCTTCTATTAAAAGAGCCCTGCTAATACTCTCTATATGGTATATCTAAAGATATGCCCATTTTTATAAGTTCGAGTTATTGCGCGCTACCACTTCAAGATTTTTTCAGACTTTTTAATCTTAACAACCAAATTTTTTGCCCTTTCTGAAGGTCGTTTTTCCCTTCTCTCACGTCTCCCGTATTAGTATTCCCAATGGTATCTGCAAGGATTAAAAGTATGGAAAGAACACATTTTTCTTATTCCGCAATACAATTTTCTCATGTTGGTCCCGATTGAAATCTTTTGTACTTTTCTCTTATTTTTCTCTAATTCTTCTATGAATATCGACCCATTCTAATTCCAAAGATCCTCGTTTGTGCATTTTCCCACCAACTGACCTCTTCTCGTTGATCTTCCTGTCTTGACCATTTCCTTGCTTCCATCGATAAACTCCTCCACCTCCGCTCCTACATTTTATTCTACTCTTCTTCTTTTTTTTCTTCTTATGTTTTCGTTCATAACCACTTCACACTCTTTTTCTCTTCACCTAGTTCTACTTTTCGACATCTTCTTCTGCTTTTTCTTCTTCTTTTCTACTGCACATTTGCATAGAATTAAACGGACTTTCGACGAGAAAGAGAAGAAGAAGGGAGGAGCATCAGGAGGGCGAGAATTCGGAAGCAACACAGGCTTCGCCTTCTGAACAAACGGGATTAGTTTTGAGTGTGTGGCAAAGGTTATTCTTCCAATCACACTTCCTTTTTCATAGCGGCGGTTTGAATATTTTCCCTGTTCCCAGACGAAAATTTAAATTTTGAGCTTAACCTTCTGTTTCCTGAACTTCCTGACTCCGTATACACCAGACATGCTTCATAGCTCAAACTTCTGAAATCGTATACAATTTTTGTACTCCGTCTAGCCTATGAAAACAACCACTCCCGGATGCCCGATTTCTGTTTCTCAATCTCTCAAATTCCATAAAGATGCTCTGATTAGCTCATAGATCAAGAGAATTTAGATGGAGAACTTTGAAGTGGAAAGAAAAAAGAATGAGGAACTTGGGAGATGTTTCATGTCTTTCAAGTGAGTGCAAAAATCGGATGGAGCTTCTTTTTTTTTCAAAATAATCGTTTGGTTGTAAAAATCTCTTATTCGAAAGATGAAGATTTCTTCAAAATCTAAAACGCAAAACTCAAAACTCAATTCTACGAAATCTCACAAAACCCGAACCTTCCTGGTTCTTGTCAAATGTTCCCATCTCTGTCTCTTTTCACTTCTGAAAATGATTGACATAAAGATGTTTGAAAATGATTTGAGAGTGAAAGAAAGACAGACGCATTCAGATCTTTGCTCATTTCCCCGTTGTTTTCTGCTTAAATACAATGCTTTCAATAGACAAATGGTGATGAAGTTCATTTCTTTTTCTGGTTTTGAAATCATTCCGAATACATTTTTGTGTCCACGAGCACTTGTCATTTACACTCATCCATGCGTCTTCTTTTTTTGTTTTTGAGAAAAACAGAATCTTCGTATGACTGTCTCTTTTACCTGCCAATTTCAATATTCATACTTTACAAAAGTGCTCAAAGTTTTTCTTTGAATTAAAAGTGTATAATAAATTTTTGTTTCCGTTCTATTGTTCCAAGGTACTTCGGGAGGGCCCTTCTATTAGAGGGGCCCTTTCAAAATTTTTCACAGAAAAATTCGGTGAGTTCTTGTTATTCATAAAAATCTAACAATTTCCACAAAATTGAGCAAGTTTTTGTGTAAAAAATAGTTTTTCAACAAATTTCAGTTAAATTTTAGACTTTTCAGAATATTTTGTATTGAAAACGTACGATTTTTTTTAATTTCAAACAACAGACTTTGAAGGGGTCCTTCTATTAGGTCTTCTATTTTTCCAAGCAACTCTCGGAGGCCTTTCTATTAGAGGGTCTTTCTATAAGAGAGCCTATCTAATACAGGTTTTACGGTACTTACTAGATCTGGTCTGATTCTCTATTTCTGAAACTCATATTCTATTTTTTTTGTAATTCAAAAAAGTTGAGCTATTGATTCCGGAAAAATAGAATTTGAAAAAAATTGAGCAAAATTAAGCTACCGTAACACCCGTAATAGAAGGGCGCCACACTGTCAAGTTTGAGCTCAATGCTCAATTATCTCAAATAATGTGAAAGATATCCAAAATGTGTCAACTGATAAAATGTTTGTGATATTTTGGCTAACAATTCATCAATTGACCACTTTTTCATATCTCCGATAGGAATTGAGATAAATTGGCTCAAAGTTAAAAGTTAGGGGGCCCTTCTATCACAGGTTGTACGGTATTTTCAAAAAAAAAAATCAAAAATTGATGTTCTCACAAAACTTTTCAAACTATTTTGTTGGCAATTTTCAGAAAAATTTCAAAATTTCAATGAGCAAGATTTGTACGTAATCCGAAACATAATATTTTCCGCTTTACGATTTTCTGTCTGCAATTCGAATATTCAAAGATCTAATAATTACTTCCAGTTAAACAAATTTTCCAATGACCTTTGTCATCTAGAATTCCATGCCCGACGTCGACACAGAATCCGTCCGTCTGTCGCCGTCGAAGCGACTCTGAGATTTTTGAAAGAAACTCTGACACGGGCTCTGCGTCTCGCGTCTACCGATACTATTCCTCATTTCGACACAATTCAATTTCAGAGTCTCTTTTCCGCCCCCTATCATCATAGTCATCATCATCATCGTTTTGTGCTCGTTGGAGCCGCCCCATTTTCTCTCTTCTTCTTCGTTTTTCGTGCTTCTTTCCCTTATTTCCACGCCCAAAAAGTTCGCATTGGATATCGCGCACTTTTTTGAGACTTTTGATCTTCTTCTCGGACTTTCAATATTCTTCTTCATATTTTTTCGGGAAATTTGGGATCACAAACATCAAAAATTGATCATTCGTGAAATGTGTCCTAAACTCATTTAGAGTTATTTTCTGTCATTGATCCTTTCATCTTATATTCTCGGGGAAACCAAAAAGTAAAATATAAATGGAGAACAGAAGTATATACATACATGTATGCACGAAAAATAAAAGGGAAAGCTGTGAAATTTTAATGGTTTTTCAACGCAAAAACAAGCCTCTCTTCATTTTTCTTCCAATCCGGATTTTCCTGCTTCTCCAAAAAGGTCCAGACAGGCAAATCCTCATGAGTACTTTTTTCTTTAAAAATCGGAAAAAAAAGAACCACAAATATTTTGAATTCGATTTTCTTTGTTCTACTGTTTCCTGAAGAAAATTCAATTTCAAAGTTAGAAGCTCCACAAAAAGCGAACTTTGCCAAAATCAAAACTTCAGAGAAGTCCAAAAATTTTTGTGGGAATCAGATGAAATCTGTGATGCAATCAAACTGCAATTCACTCCTCTCATAACCTCGTCGGGTATTCTGATATCCCCTTGGGAATCGTCTTGTTCTTTCTCTCGTTTCTCCCTCTCCAGACCCTTTGATATAAAATGCCCATTGGTGCTGCAATCCCTTTTTTCTTGTGTCTCTCCTTCACTATTCGTCATTCCGATTCTTGATTTTTTCTTTTTTTAATAATTTTTAATAATTAAAAATTATGATTTCAGATGAGCTAAACTTTCAACACAGCATGCAAGAAAAATGTCGCTTAGTTGGATTTTCAATCAGAATCCTCTTTCTTCTGAACACAATTCTTCCGGGAATCACACCAGACGATCGGTTTCATATAGGTTTGCGGATTCATCAGAGAAAATGAAGATATTAGTATTCCAGGTACAATTGCGAATCGAGGATCATTTGCTTACGAACACCTGAGATATGCAATAGACCGATGGAATACAGAACATGGAGCACATACACAGATCAAATTCTCAATTGTTTCACCAATTCGATATGACAACAATTATGAAGAGAGGAGTGAGTTTTTGAAGATACCCTAAAATCTGTAATAGACTTCAAAATCTAAAAAATTTGGCCCAATTTATCTCAGTCTCTGTCAAAAATATAGAAAAGTTGTCAACTGACAAATTGTTTATCATAATGTGTATCAAAAGTTTTTCGTTGGTTGACACATTTTTTATATCTTGCAGAGGAGCCATGATAAATTAACTCAAACTAGTATGGGACGTTTTGAACAAAAACTACAAAAATTCCGTAAAACCTGTAATAGAAGCCCGCACTGTCAAGTTTGAGCTAACTTATCATGGTTCCTTTGCAAGATATCAAAAATGTGTCAACTGTTCTCATCTATTAGAAGTTTTGTGGTAAGCGAAATTGCAGCTAAACATGAACTGGAACAGCACTTCTAAAGATTTTTAGTTAAAAATTTAAGTTAAGGAAAGTCAATGTAGTTCTGTTGGTGCTTGAATGAGTTTAACGCTTCAAAGGGTTTCGATAGGCGAAAAATCGCGGAAATTGATAATTGTAAAACCTGTAAGAGAAGGCTACCTTCGATTTTGGCCCAATTCATCACGGTCCCTGTCCAAGATATAAAAAAATTGTCAACTGATAAATTGTTCCTCGTAATATCACAAACATTTTGTCAGTTGATTCTTTTTTATATCTTGCATAGGAGCCAAGATAAATTAGGTCAAGTTTGACAGTGGGGGGCTTCTATCACAGGTTTTACAGTATAGCCCACCACCTCTGAGGTACCGTTATTTTTGCAATTAGACGCTTTTCAAAATGATGATAACTTATCACCCCTTACAAAACATTTTTTTTTCAGTGTGTGAAATCATGCAGCAAGGTATCGTCGCCGTTGTATTATCAAATGAAGAAAATGAACAAGATTCTCAACTCATCAAGTCTATGTGCCATTATTTCAATGTGAGTTCACCTACATCAGAACCTAATCGAATCTTCTCAATTTTCCAGATTCCATGTCTATCGCTTCAATCAACATCTCTTCGTGATTCCATCTCTGACTTTGTAACCCTTCTCGGACCATCGAGAGGAGCAGGAGCACGAGCAACCAGCGAATTTCTGGATTCTATGAGATGGACTGGATTTCTTTTGGCTTATCAACATGGATCAGATTTAGAAGATCTTTCTCCATTGATGCAGTATAAACAGATTGCGGATACTGGAGGAAGGAGAATTCACATTAAAGTTCGGCGACTTCCGAATAACACAGATGACTATGAACCGTTTTTGAAATATGTGAAAACCAGACTGAAACAAACTAACATCGTGAGTTTTCTTTGCTCCTTTTCAGGTGTTCTGTTATGGATTTGAGTTACAGATAATTCATTCCAACAATATAACCGTTCTCTATAATCTTCTACAACAAGCTCGTGGGTTGAATATGGCAGAACCTCCATTTTCATACGTTTTCACGAATACGGTAAGTTGGTTCTGTAAAGATGTACCCATAATATTTTTTCCAGGATTTATCTCTTTTGGAAGATTTTCTAAACAATATGTATGGAGCATCGTTTCATTGCAATATTACTGGACTGCAATTGGTAAAGAATGACCCAATGATGAAGGTGAACCCTTGAATTTGTTTTTAAACTTAAAATACAACTTCAGACTCAATTAGCGTTAACTTCCGAAGCGGTTTATGTTGTAGGGATGGCGATTTATAGAATGAGAGAAGTAAGATTACAATTTTTGAATTCCTTAAATTTTCATAACCGTTTTAGCTCGGTCATGCTCCTCGTCAATCGGCTGTGATGTGTGATTCTCATGACATTTGGTCGGATGGTCGAATAATGAATGAAGGAATTCGAAAGGTAATTCTCGAATAATGCCACAACAATTTCCCAAATGTCCTTCAAGTTCTCTTTTCAAATCCGCAAACAACCACATAGAAACCGTCTTTCTCTTTTTTTTTCTCCCTCTTGATCCTTCAAACTTGTCTCTTTTCTTTTCTTCTGAATTGTAAAAAACGAAGAAGAAGGAAGTTCTTTCTGAAGACCAGGGATTACTGTATTTGTTGGGATAATCGTCTAGAATTGAGACACTGAGAATACAACGCTGAAGTTTACGGATGTGTATGTGTAGAGAAGTTCGCGAATGCAATTGAGTGGACATTGCGTGATCTTTTGGAACGGACATGACACATTTTTAATAGTTATGGATGTAATTTATGACATTAGGTGAATAATTGGTACTAGTACCGGTTATTTTGAATCATCACGGAAGTTGACTTTCAAAGATTGGAAAGATTGCAATGAACGTTTTTCAACAAAAACCTATAATAGAAGGGCCCACTAATAGTCAACTTTGAGCTAATTTATCTCAGTTCCTAAAATTTTTTTAAATATGTCAACTGATAAAATACTGATGATATTATGATAAATAATTTATCAGTTGACAACTATTTTTTATCTTTGCCAGGAACCGAGATAAATTAGCTCAAATTCAAAATTTAAAGAGCCCTTTTACGGTGGCTGAAAGTTCTATTCAAAATCAATATTAAAAAGGAAAACCTAGATGAGTTAGGGCAAAAAAAAATAGAAGGCCCGAAATCTCTGGATGAATAGAAGGAACCTCTCTGATTGAAGGGGCCTCCGGAAGTTACCTAGATTAGATCACAAAAATCGATACAGATCTTGTTTTTTTTATTGCAAGAGATGATTTTTTTTGCAAATCCAGTTCAGACACAAAATAATTTGTTTTTCATTCTTCAGTCCCACTAATTCGATTCACACCTGAATTCTTCATTTTCCTCCTTTTTTAAACCCTTTTTTTTCCTAAAATTGGAATTCCAGTTGAAACTACGTAACCAATTGACCGGAGACGTGCAATTCAAATCAAATGGAGAACGAGACGACATCATGTATCACGGCGTTGGACGCATCAACTCACAATTTGTGAAGGTAAGGATCAGAAGAGGAAGAGGGGTAATTGACTAAAACCGGTTTTTTGATGAGGTAATTTTCTTTTTGAAGCAAACGAAATGTAAATAGTCTGGAACATTGAAAATTATCGAGAGAAAGAGATTTGATAAGGACGGATATGTTCTATGATCTATTAATTGTGGAAGGAGACCTTGATCTACGTTGTCAATCTATCGCCCTTTTCTTCAAACTGTCAACATCGTCACAACTTTTGAAACTGATCACACTGACCACAGAAACTTCAGAAGACGTTCAAGTAGTTTGAACACAGACAACACTTTAAAGTATGTTATAGATGAGCATGGTCTTCTGTGATCTTTAGAATCTTGACAGGCTACGAAATTTGAATCCCTCTGTTCCAAACGTTTTTCTATCTCGAGCACTTTTTTTCAACAGTACGTACTTGTTTACAAGCAAACAAACAGGTTGTACAAGTTTGTGTCAACTCACTCCAAATCGTTCATCTATACATAGCGATCCTCACACACCCATGTGTGTTATTTGTACAAATATTCTAGTTTTTCTATGTTTGGTGTCATATTCAAAAAGAGGAATTCCGAGAGCATCACGATGTTTTATTACATTTAATTAGAGCTCCAAAATAGGATTCAATCGAATGAGAACGAGAAAAAAGAGAGCTTTGGGGAGGGTATTTACAAAAAAGTTTGGTTGATCAGTGCGTTTATTGTCCTTGGGCCTTCTCGAGCTCGGCCTTAACGTTGGCTGGGAGGGCATTCAAGTAGGCTTGGATCTTTTGTCCCTTGGCTTGAACGGAGAGGGAAGAGTCGTTGGAGATGGCGGTGAGGTCGGTATCGGCCTGAAAGATATAAGAGAATTAGAAAACTGTTACTCAACATGATCTACTTTCACTTTGGCTACTAAGCTGAGTGGATTACCTACTAGTTCTTTTTTGTAATACTTTTCACTAAACCTATGCAACATAAATCTCTGAATAATCCTCTCACCTTCTTGGCAGCTGGGGAGAAGTTGGCAATAGCGGCTTGATGGGCAGCCTCGGCTTGTCCTTGTTGTCCCTTGATGAACTTCTGGAAGTCAGCCCAATCGGCGGCGACCTTTCCTCCTTGTTGGGAAACCCAGGCTTGGACCTTGGCGTCGAGTGCAGTCTCGGTCAAGTGTCCGTTGGCTTGGATGAGTTGTTGGAAGCTCTGGAGTTGAGCTGGAGTGGCATTGCGAAGGAATGGTGGAATATCTTGTCCTCCGGCTGGCTGTCCGTAGACAGAGACAGCGGCAACGGCGAGAAGAGCAAGAACGGCAAGACGGCACATTTTGGGTAGTTAGGAATCAGAATGAGTAGAAGACGACTGATGAGGATACCCCAACAGAAATTGTCGCTTTTATACTGTCCACTCACACTATCTACTGTCTCTCTGTGCCGCCCTTTCGCTCCTCCCACTCGGCAGATCATCGACGAGAGAGTGGAGAGACGCAGAAGGAGACCGAGTGTTCGCTGAAGTTGGCCAGTTTTCCGATGAAGGAAATCGCTGAATTTGAGACTTTTTCAAAATAATGAAGTATAGAATAAGAAGTGACGAATCGTCTGTGTTCAGTTTTGGAACAGAAGTTTTAGTAGACGTCATCAAATTGTGGAAATGGACACGATGTGATTGGGAAGGGACGTAATTGGAGAAAATGGTTCGATATGATCCTAGATCGTTGAAAAATCAGTGATCGAAGTTGTGCAGGATTCAGGTTTTTGATAGCCAATGAGCATGAAAAATTCTTGAGCTGAAGATTCTTCAATGCTTTCTTCGATCGCTGATTTTTTGAATTTTTGGCTCCGCGTCACTTTGAAACCGCGACTCTTCGAAACCAGTCATTTCGAAACCGTGGTAATACAGACGAATGAATGAATTTCAGACTACATTATCGATCGGGGTTTTCAAATATGCTTTTTCTGATAGAACACATCCTGAAACTCGAAAAATTAAAAAAATAATAATTTCTGAATGTGTTTTATCAGAAAAGATCAACTTGAAAACCCTGAAATCGGTTTTGTAGTCTGAAATTTATCCATGCGTCAGTATGACCACGGTTTCAAAGTGACGCGGAGCCCAATTTTAGGAACAACAACTCTCTAGTTTCTGAAATTCTACTTTTGTGAACTTTCTGAAGTTTCCGAATTTCCTTTGCTACCCAGTACATGTTACTGTTCCTTTTCATTATCTGACCAAAAGTCCATAAAATTTCAAAAACCTCTACTAGACACATTTTTTCCAGCCAACCAGTCTTCTGTTATTTTCTTATCATATCGTTTATTGTACTTCCCATTTCAACGTCGTCAGTTTGAAATGGATGGCCTTTCACCGAGATATTCTTTCCTTCTTCGTCTGACTTTTACATCTCCTCAAATGATATCATTTATCACTTTCAAAGCTTGTCATGGTCAGAGCGTGTAAGTGAAACTTGAAACAAAAAATCTGTTGTTTATACAACCTTGAACTCATTTTTCTTCTCTTCTGCGATCCAATGATTATCATCTTTAGTTTTTTCTCCATGTCGTAGTCCAAATTCATCCGTTTTCTTTTTTCCATTTCTGTATTCAATCCCATCCCGATTTTATATCCCTTTTTCTACGTCTTTACTTCCTGATAACACCGACAAAAACGGTCGAGATTTCGTTTGACGACTATTTCGTTTTCAAGTTTGAGATGACGTTACGTCTTCTGATTTGTTCTGATGGTCGGTCAGAAGGAGAAAATGAAACATATAGTATCGTTTCTGACTTGTTTCTGATTTTGTAATTTTCATCTGATTATGAGTAAAGCTATCCATCATTTTAGTTTATCTTCTTTTCCTTGTTCTTCTTCTCGACAAGAAACAATTCATCAGATTTTATCTTCCTCGTTATGACGTGGCAGATTAGAAGAGGTAATAAATCTATGTCGTTGTTGTCTCTTTGTTTAGATGATGACGTGCAAAAAGACAAACACACTTTCTATACAATAAAAATCTCAATCTTATTCGTAAAATGTGGAGCAGTTGACCTACTCAAAATAAGGATTCTATCTTATTTCTATAGAGCGATCAAAGATCATAACCAGCTGTATTTAGCTGGTGGTGCAATTGAAGAAAAATTTGATGAATGAATGCCGAAAGGTAGCAAAAACTGTGTGAAAACAAACAGGCAAATGTTGATCGTTGAGGACAGAAAGAGTTGAAATGCAAATAAACTTACCTACTGGAATCAAACTATTCGCACATTGGACTCTCGGAGAGAGCAATCGGCAAAGAAAGTGTTTGTGTAGATAACTGGAACATTTGGGCTAATACCAGACAAAATGATAAAAAATAACAAGGAACACATCTTCGTTGGGGAACCTGAAGTTCATATTTTCAGCTTGGCAACTGGTCTGAAAAGCGTGGTTGGAACTTCGATAGTCGATATGCAAATCGATGGGAATTCGATATCGACCCGGATTCAGAAGATTTGGAAGGACTTCACCTTCGTGTTGTTGTCTATCTAGAAGAACCGTTTGTGATCAAGACTGGAGAAAATAAGTACGAAGGATTTTGCATCGATTTATTGAATGAAATGACAAAAGTACTGAAATTCAATTATACAATCATTGAGGTTCAAGATGGAACTTATGGAATTGAGGTAGTTTTTGATATAATATAGAATTTGGAAGTTTTCATGTTTAGGACGATTCTGGTAGATGGAATGGTATAATTGGAGCTCTACAAAGGCACGAAGCAGATTTATCTCTTTCAGCAGTGACCATAACTTATAGCAGAGCCGAAGTAGTTGGTGAGAAGATTTTTAATAAGATATATACAAAAACGTATTTTTCATATGATTCTAGGTCATTTTCAGGAGTCTGAAGCTTGGTTTATTAATTTCAGATCACTTTAAAAAATTTGGAGGGTGTAGAACAGGGAACTTTGCAGTCACATAATTTTTTTTGAAAATGCTGTTTATTTTCGATTTTTGAAACACACCCCTTTAAGCCCCTCCTTGTACTAAAAATGTGAAAAACTGATGGCTTTCAGAAATCGAAAATCAAAGTAACTCTCAAAAAATTCTGATAATGCCAACTTTTCAATCTAGGTCTTATTTAGACCCACCAAGATTTACAAGTACCGTATTTTGTCTAATAGAAGCTCATCCAAGCCTCCAACTTTGAGCTCTATTATGAAGCGCCGGAGGAGCGGCTAGCAGATGGCTGGTGATAAATAAATTGTTAATTGACAAGTTTTCGATATCTTTCACAAGAAGCGGGATAATTATGCTCAAAGTTGACACTTTGGATGGGCTTCTTTAGAGGAAATACGGTAATCAGAAACTTTACAGCTGAGCTCCAGACTCCTGAAAATGGTCAAAATGATGAGAAATGAGTTTTTGTATATCTTATTGACCGGTACTGTAGATGCAAAAGTTAATACTCAACGATATTCAGACTTTACTCTTCCATTTATGCATCTCGGGATTTCGATTCTATTAGCACGAACTTCGGAAGAAACTGATAAAGGATCACTTTGGACATTCCTTGAACCCCTTTCTCTGACAGTTTGGATCAGTTTACTTCTCAGTTATTGCATTGTTTCATATTCAATGCACATTTTGGCAAAGTTTTCTCCTTATGAATGGTATTGCCTGCTGAGTATATTTTCAAATCTAAAAATTTTACAGGTACAACTTGGAAAGGATTGATGAACGGGATTTTGAAAACATAAAAAATCAAAAGAACCAATTCACAGTTCTGAATTCGTTCTGGTTTACGATGGGATCTCTTATGCAACAAGGATCGGATGTGATTCCACGAGCAGCTGCGACTCGATTGATTGCCGTGGTTTGGTGGATGTTCACACAAATTATAATCTCTTCATATACGGCTCAATTGGCTGCGTTCTTGACTGTAGAGAGAATGTCAACACCTATCGGTTTGTAATTTTCATGAATCATTTTTTTAGTTTCAAAAAGTTTCAGAAAGTACACAAGATTTGGCGAATCAGCAAAAAATAAGATACGGAGTTCTAAAAAGCGGGTCAACTATGGACTTCTTCCGTGAGAGTAAAATACCAATGTACGAGCGGATGTAAGTTGTTTTTCTTGAAGAATTGGATCCTAATCAAAAGTTACAGGTGGTCAGTAATGGAATCATCATCTCCTGGAGTTTTTGTAAATAGCTCAAGAGAAGGAATAGCACGGGTAAAGTCGGGTGGGTACGCGTATATGATGGAGAGTTCGATGTTGGAATATTATTTGGAACGAGATTGTGATTTACAAAGTATCGGAGGTCTTTTGGATTCAAAGGTTTTTTTCTGAATTTAGTTTTGAATAAGTTAATTCCTGAATTACAGGGATATGGGATTGCTCTACCAAAAGGTTCTCCTCTTCGAGATATTTTATCAAGAACTGTGTTACAATTACAAGAACGAACTATTTTGGAAGCATTGAAAAATAAATGGTGGAGGGATAGGAGAGGTGATATTAGAATACAGATAATATTAACATAATTTCAAATATTTCCAGAAGGCCCTTCGTGTGGTCCTCCTCCTGCTGAAAAAGCAACAAATTCAAAACCTCAAAATATATTCGGAATATTCTATGTTCTTCTAACTGGTCTAATAGTTGCATTCCTTCTTGCATGCGGGGAATACTGTATTGAGTCTCGACATGAAGCGTTTCGGCTGAAACTGACAATTGTTGGAAAAGTAGGTCTTCTAGATTTGATTTTGAAAACCAAAGAACTTTTTCAGTTCATCGACTGGTATCGTGGAAATTCGAATGATACGAAAACTCGAAATAAAATGAGAAACATGCAGTTGGACACTGCTGGACAAGAGATCTCAATGTGAGTTTCCTTTTTCAAGCTCCTCGCTTGAATTTTTCAGAGGTTTGAAAATCCTTGCAAATTTCTCGCTTCTCCCGTACCATCATATTCGGTTAGATTTCCGGCCAGAAATCCTGATTTTGCATGAAAATTCGCCCAGAATTTTCGCAACTTTTATTTTCAGTTTCAATAATAAAATAGAGTAATGTGAGGCTCTCACTTGGCAAACGGAAGGTAGGTCAAAGTATTCGGAAGTGCATGATTCGAGACGCTTTTTTTTTGAGAATCGGCTTGGTTACATTTTCTTTTTCTCTCGATGCACTGCTACTACTCGCTTCAGTTCTCTTTTTTGGTTTTGTCGGCTGAAACTATCGCATTTTTTTCAGTTTTTTTACCGTAAAACCTGTAATAAGAGGGCACCATACACTATCAAGTTTGAGCTCATTTATCTCGGCTACTATGCAAGATATCGAAGATGTTTTTACTGATAAAATGATTTTGATATTACGATAAATAGTTTAGCAGTTGGCAACTTTTTCATATCTTTCACAGGAACAAAGATGAACTGGCTCAAAGTTGAAAGTTAGGGGCCCTTCTATTACGGGTTTTACGGAGTCTTCTTTCTCTTAATCGTTCAGTTTATCCCTATTTTGATATGGCATTGCTACTTTAAAAATAATTAATGCACTCAAAATTTTTGATCTTCTGACATGGTCGATTAATCCCAATCAACGAAACCAATTTCTTCAGTTGTCCAGATTATCAACAAAAAAAAAGAATTCCTGATTTTTCATTAACTTCTTTCCACTTTCCACATGATTCAATCAACACCTTAACAAGAACAATTAATCCAATTTTTTATTTCCATTCAATCTCTTATGAAAATGTTGCAGATCCATTCATGCCGAACCTCCGCTACCCCCAGTTCCAACTTCTCGACCTGATCCAACTCGTCTCTCGATTTCATCACCAGCCCCTACCATTTGTGTTGTTTCCTGTGATGATGGCACTCCGATCAGTCGAGATAGACCTCCATCCATCAGTAGGGCAGGCCTTCGAAGACTGAGTCGGATGCTTCCAGCCACGACTCATGAACAGTTATCCAGATTCCGACAAGGATCAATGTCATAATTCTTTATTCGATCGTGATTCCTTTTTTTTGTAAATCTTGTAATTATCATCTTTTGAGTTCTACCTGTTACTATCAACAAAAACCAAATTTTCCTCTTTGAACTGGTCTATCATTTGATTTTGATTAATTATTTAAGTTGATTTTGACATGTTTATTTAACGTTCGTTTGAATGTAAATCCGATTGTTATTACCGTAAAACCTGTATTAGAAGGGCCCCTCTAATTAAAGGGTTCAAAATGTGTAGTTCGAAATCGAAGATTTCCGTACGTTTTCAGTGGAAAACATTCCGGAAATTCCACAATTTTACAGAAATTTGTTGAAAAACTTTTTTGCTAAAAGTGGCCGGAAAAATAGAAGCGCCCCCTCTAATTGAAGGGCCCTGTAATAGAAGGGCCCTCAGAGGGCTCCTTGAAAAAAAGAAGGTTACGGTTTATGAAGACGTTCTTCAATTTTGCCTACTGTAGCTTTTTCACGTTTTGTTTAATTTCGATACTTTCACGTGAGTCTGGAATATGAGGCGAATAGCTGGAAAAAATTATGTAGGCATCACTCCACAGGTGTCATTTATACTGCTGTTTTAAGTTTGAAGTCGTGAGCGTGAAAGAAGAAGTAGATGAATGCGAAACATGAAGCAAAAACTGATGTGAGGTGTCAAAATTTTTGCAAAGTATTTTCATGCGAAATTCAGGAGTCGGTGAGATCAACAAAATCCTTTGCACTTACGGAGAAATCGGAGAAAGTGATGAGGGATGACTCTAGAAAAGATTCTCCGCCACTTATAAAGAAAATCGATGGGATCCCAAAACTATCGGTAGAGCCAAGTGAGAAGAAGATGCCATCTCCAAACAAACGACTCGGTGTGATGCCACGACTGAAGAAACCTGAGCCCGATTCCGTTCCCTTGATCCCAATTGATGAAAAGTTTAAGAAACGATGGCACATTGAAGGTATTATCGGAAAAGGAGGTTATGGGGAGATTTATACTGCAATCGACATGAAAATAGCAGAAGAAGTAGCAATAAAGGCGGAACCAATGGAACGGAAAGGGAAAGTAGCACGGAGAATGATTTTGGAGCAGGCGGTGTTAGTGAAGTTACAGGGAAAACCGCATTCGCCGTTGATTTTAGGATCAGGTCATACTGAGAAATTCAACTATATCGGTATGTTTATTTTTGAGTGACATAAATATAAGAATGAAGGTTTCCAGTTCTCCAATTGCTAAGTATTAACTTAGGGGATATTCGAAGAATGAGCCCAACTAGAAAATTGAGCAAGTCAACCGTTGGAAGAATCACAGTTCAATCAATTGCTGCTTTACGGGATCTCCATGAAATTGGTTATCTGCATCGAGACGTCAAACCGGCCAACATCTGTTTTGGAATCACTCCAACGGTAAATAGTAAACGGTTATTTTAAGTGACTCTTGAACGAAACTTTTGCAGACGCGTCATGTGCTCAAATTGCTAGATTACGGTCTCGTTCGTAGGTACAAAGAAGCAGACGGAGAATGGAGACAACATCGTGCGAAGGCTGGATTTCGTGGAACACAGAGATACGTCTCCACACGTGTCCATCGTCGTCTCGAGCAAACACCAGCTGATGACATGGTTTCTTTGATGTACACTGCGTTCGAGCTTTTGGCCGGTGAGCTTCCCTGGAGAAATCTTGAGAAGAGTGATGACATTTGGAAAATTAAAGAAGCAGTTGTAGGTTCAGTGAGCAAAAGTTGTCTCGAAATCATATTTTTCAGCAATACGGGCATATTGAGTACTTCAGTGGAATGGCACGCGAACTGTTTGACTTTTCTAAACTCGTTTCTGGACTCGACCCGATGGTGGACCCACCTTACGCAACTCTCCAAACATGCGTGAAGAAATTGTACTCACCAAAGAAGCTTACAGATCTATACGATTGGGAGGAAAACTTCAAAGAAGCAATATTAGAGAAGACTTTGTCAACGGACGACAGTAGCCAGTAAATGAACTGCAGTTTCTGATAAATATGATTCGTTCCATCGTTTTTTTTTTCTAGATCAATAAAGTCAATTTGATTGAATAAAGCAAAACAAATGTGTTAAATTTTGGGAATAACACTAAACAAATAAACCTTGCAAAAATGCAATCGAAAACTATTTTTTACTGAAAAGCTGCTTCGGGTGTACCGGTGTGGTTGAATTTGATGTGATATAGATCGATAATAATAGTTTGAAGAAATGGATCTCTTATTAATCGTCCCAAGTGGCAGTTGAGGTGGACGGTTGTTCCCATGGCTCCGGAATCCCAAACAGTTCTCTCATCTCTTCTGTAGATTTTCCTTTTGCTGAGTTAGCAACCGTTTTGCAGCCGTAATTGATCAGTCCAGTAATATCCAAATGATAGGCAGCAGTTATGAGATCAAACAGATTTCCCATGGGCAATTTGGTGAGAAAATGTCTGTCCCACGACGGAATGAAAATATTTTTCTTGTCCTTCTCCGCTTGTGCAATGGCTGGATCGTCTTCTTTGTGCTTCTCACACCATTCTAGCACTAGCTTCAAAGTGAATCCGACAACATTGTTGACTTCTAATTTTTCCAGAGGTTTGTTTTCGTCGTCATATCCCTTGATAGTAGCGGCTAGAGTGCTCGAAAGAAGCAGCGCTCGAACATCAGCTTGAAGGATGTGACCATCAGAAGACTGTACTTTAACGATTCGTGCTGGAGCGGAAGGCTTCGGTGTGCTGTAATATCAAACAATGAGTTTAGGGAACAGTTTTTCAAAGGACACCTGGGCTGTGGCCGCTTTGCACTATTCTTTTTCGGCGCCATCTTTGATTTGAAATGAAATCTTCTGCAATCGTATTTCGTATTTTGGAAAGTTGAGAATTGAGGAAGCATCCGACAAAGAGAAAATAGGAAAAATATGACTCATTTCTAGCAAACAATTGCTCAATGTTTTGGAAAAGCCATGAGGAAATATATTTTCGCCGTTCGAGAAAACGAAAAATTCAGATAAACGAACTATTTGAATAAATTTACATTTTTATGCACATCAATGAATATGGTTTAAAACTAACATAAAAATTGACAGAAAAATTAATTGGGTGCAGGAGAAATTGAAAGCAGAGAACAGGCAATATTTAGAAACCTGGTACGAGATGCAAGTAGAAAATTATGTAGTATGAGATATTGTAATTTTGTTAATCATTGATTGGTGGTTCTGGAGACAGTGAAATGTCACTCATTTCTTGATCTTCCGACGAAGATTCGTCGTCTTCTTCTTTCTCTTCTTCCTCTTCCTCATCTATTTCGGCTGCTTTAATCTCTTCGTCGGATTTGAGATTCAAAGCTTGACGCATCTCACTAGACGTTTTCCCGGCGATTTTAGATGCGATTCTTCTGCAGAGAGTCTCATAGAGGTGTTGAATGTTGAGGTAATTAGCAGCGCTCATTAGCTCGAAAAGCTCGCTATTAGGAATCTGAAAGATAATTATCATTTACCAATTTTGAATTTCGATAAGAACCGTTAAGTAAGCATTAGTCCACTTATCGAACGAGTAACTCGGAACGTCGCTTTTTCCAGGTGGGGTCCATTTTTTGTTTTGGTGATGCTTCAGCCACACACATACTTTCTCCATTTGAGCGCTAGCTATGTTGCCCAGCGGTATCGGCTCCTTCTTCACATCTTTCAGGTGATAATCGAAGTTGGCAATTAGCTTGGCTAGTGTCTCCGACTGTTGTGCTAGCTCTACCGTCAACTCGAAATCCTTCCCATCCGAAGACACAACAGTGATCAGTTCTTGAGAAATAGAAGACGATGGTTCATCGGTAGTCATAGTTCTGCAAACTTTTTTTTTGTTTATTGGAATACGAATAAAATAAAATTGTTCCGCAAAGATTCAAAGAAATTTCAAGCAAAGAATCTTTGAGGAAATTGTAGTGAGAGTGAGATCGTAAAATTTGCAGGCTCGTTTCAATAAATTTTCAGGAGGTTCTGCACAGAAACTGAACCAAGGATTTTTTATTCGATAATTGTAAGAACGGCATGCGAAGGAAACATTTCGGAGCATAAAAAACAACCCGGAAAATCGATTTTAAGAGGCACGGCAGCCGAAAGCTGTGTGTCTCATGACCGCATCCAAATGTGCTAAAAAACCATGCGGCAAAACCGTGCCAGGGTTGCAATTTAGGCTCCGCCCCCCGACTCCGCCCACTTTTCTCCGGAGTTTTTTTTCCCCGGAATTTGCGGGGTCTCCGCTGTGTGCCAAGCGCAACGACGGCGCGCCCCACTGCACATTTTTCGTTTGCGCCAAAACGCGGTTGTTTGAAAAAAGTAATCTCAAAGATCTTCGAAAATCACACCATGATTGATTTGAATTTGAAAACCATAGTAAAAAATAATTAATTTTATGGCTGTTTAATTATGACTCGATTATCTGAATAAAATGTTCAGATGTCGAGCTCGAATACTAGTTTCTCTCACTATCAGTTTCGTTGTCTATAAATTTAGTGTTTGGATCAATAAATTTGAATTTTGAAAGGCTTGCCTTTGCAGAAACGAAGTTTTCAGCACTAGCATGTTTACTTGCACTTGAATTTTGGAGATCAAAAAGTTCTCATTCGAGAATTATTCGCATTCCTCATTTATACGAAGTATTTTAGATATATCTAAAAAATTGGATTTATTACTTTTACTGCAATCAAACCGGTAAGCTCTCTTTTTTGAAGCTTTACACTAAATAAGAAAAAACAAAACTTCCGACTCGCCGTTTTCTCGCGTTTGTCAATTTCAAATATCCGCCGAAAAATTGTAGTCCAATAGCGCGCGCTTTGATACCTCTGACGTCATCTCTCGCTAACAATTTCGCACACAAATCCATCGATCTTGTCGTCGCTGTGCATAGAAAAGTATTTTTCTGTAAAATACTTCGAAATGGCGTCTTCCGGAACCCCAACTCCTTTCATGGGATCGGGTATAAAACAAGATCTACACTTATTATTCAACAAGTTCTCATCTACCGAATCTAAAAGGTAAGTCATCAGTTTTCATCAATTTGGCTATATTTCAAAAATTACTTCTAATATTTTCAGCATCCGAGCATTTGCCGAAATTTTCCGGGAGACACGTTTTGACACCATTTTCCATTATCGAGTAAACCCAGCGGAACATCTGGAAGTGAGGAACACATTTTGCAATTAATTTAATTGTATTGTCCTTTCAGTTTAGCGAGTACCTCCTCCAGAATGCAGCTCTATATTTTGAAAGCAAAAATGAAATTGGTGTGCCGAGAACATTAGAAGTGAGAATCTCAAAGAAAGTCTGAAATCCACAATAATATGAAGCATTTCAGGATCGATTATTTGGGATATACCTCTGTTATGCGCTGTACAATGTTCAACCTATAGATCACATTTGCCAGGTAATCATTATTTATGTTGACACTTATTTTTTGAACTCCTGTTGTAGATACCAATAACTGGAACACAGTTCGAAGAGCTCCTCAAACTGCAAAAAGAATTAGTATCTAGAAAACTTCTCCAACCCGTGGCTGCCATCAAAAATCTCCTACTAAAGAAAGCGTTCCGGTTAACTATCTTCCAATCAACTTATGATCCAGTTACACACAAGAAATACCTATACGAAGAAGATGTTCTAAATTATAGCAGGAAACCAATTGTAAGTTTGAAATTCATACAAAACCAACTGAACAAATTAAACAGGAACCATTTGCAAGAGTAGCAGCGTTGAAAAATCAGAAATTGTTCGGCGAGATCGTACTGATGCACAATGTTTATACCAAGGTGACGCAATCTATCCGAATTCGATTAAGCAATTAAACTTTTGATTATAGGCAAAACATGATCTTGGTTTAACCGATATACAGTTAGTGGAAAAAGTCGATCCGACCTTGGAACTGCAGAAAAGTCTAGAAAGACATCAGAAAGAGCTCGAAGCGGTGCAAAATGGAACTGCACTACCGACAACGAGTAACACGCAAGCAGAAACAACAGCAGGAACCAGTAGATCAGAATTGAGAACTAAAGCATATTCTGCTGGATTGAAGCATACTAGACAGCGAAGGTATCTCGACCCAAACATGCAAGGTATGTTCTACAATTCAAGCTAAATAGAAAGATTTTTTAATGGCCTATTTACTGTAAATATTATTGTAATGGACCGGGCCGAGCTTTTTTTAAATTTTCACGGCTCATATATTGAAGTGGAAAATCAATGAAAAATTTGTAGAAGCTTGACTTTAAACCAGCTTATAGATATTTCAAGCTTGACTAAAAATACTTCTTCAGAAAATTTCAAGCATCTCACATTTGGACAAATCGCTCAACAATGCTTGGATGAAGAGCCCGGTCCATCTACGGAGTACGTGAATCCTGTCGATTTTTGTGTTTCTAGTTATACATATTCTAACCTCAGGATTCCCAATCGCCATTTGAAAAATAAGAAGAAACGTAGAGCAAGTGTAGAACCGATCGAACAAATGGATGAACATGATCTGGCTGAGCAGGTTCTTCGTGAAGAGTATGCATCCAGAGTTAAACCTGAATCCGACGGTCAGTAATCGATAATTATGAAAATTAGAATCCAAATTGATTTTCAGGAGAAGAAGAACAGATGCTTGGCATGAAAATTGGTAAGCTGGGAACCTCTGGTGTAGCCAAAATTCGAGCCCCCAAGCGGAAGAACGGAAAATTGATAACAGTCAAATCTGAACATGTAGCCGACGATCGAACGGATATGACTGCTTCACAAATGTGAGTAGCTTTCCAAAGGCATTTTAAAGTTCTCATTTGTGATTTTTCAGTAGTGCATCGTTCAAATCTCCTGAAAAGAAGAAGGCTAATGTACGGAAGGAAGTGAAGCCACCTAGAATTAGCGACGAATGGGCGAATAAGCTTCATGTCTGGCACGGACAAGTCGAGGCGACAGATAAACAGCTTAAAAAGCTGACAAGTCAGATAAAACTCGAAGAGGTAGATGAAGACGAACATTAGAATGATCATGTCAAGATCCCTTTGTACTTTGGAAATAAGTTAATAATTTATTCAAGTATTATCTAATAATAAATTTTTTATTCATAACCACTAATCGGCTTGTCTTTTCTTTTTCTGTCTGGTTGAAAATTTCCCGATTTGGTTTTTTTGTGAATCTTAATTCCCTCCCTGAGATGATCTGGGTGCAAGTTCAAATTATCAGCGTTGATGCATTTTCGCGAGAAGACCAAACGAAATGGCCTGATATCGTGCAATACACGCCGATTTCACTTGGTTATCATCTATTCGGTTTCGTGTTGTAGTCGCCTGCCTTGTGGAAAAGTAAAGTGTGCCAATTACATTACTCCGAGGCAGTGTGCCTTATCGACAAACGCACTTTTCGACAAATTTACCGGTAAATTTATCGGAAAATTACCAACAAATTACCGACAAATTGTCGATAAAAACAACATTTATCGACAATTTGTCGATAAATTTGTCAATAAAAATGCTGTTTGTCGACAATTTATCGACAAATTGTCGACCAAAATTGCTATTAACCGCCGGAATCAAGTACTTGTGAAAATCGTATCTAAGGCTTCCATTCGGTCGGGAAATTTAGCCGACCGACCGACCACCGACCCCGCCGACCGACAGCCGACCGAACTGACCGATCGGTCGGCGCACCGACCGTTTTCATGCATTTGCGCGTCAACATGTTTGCATACGCTGCATTGTATTTTACGACAAACTACTCACTAAAAGCCTCGTTTGTCATAAAATAAAGTGCTTCGTACGCAAAAATTCGTGTTTTTATGCGCAAAGGCACGAAATCGGTTAGCTCGGTCGGCTGGGTCGGTCGGCGGTCGGCGATTTTCAACCGACCGAAATGGAAGCCTTAATCGTATCGTTACCATTTTTTCCTAGGACGTCTAGAATGATGGAAGAACTTACCTAGGCAAACTTTATAGGCTATCTGGCTTGGTAGCCCAACTTTCACAACATGAATTTTCTAGGCCACGATTCTTTTTAGCCTAGAAATGATCTGATATTCACCTGATGTGTTTTTAGGTTATTTTAACATGGTGGCCTAACTTTCGCGCGTCGAGTTTTCTAGGACACCATGTAAAAATGGCCTAAAAAACACACCAGATGAATATCTGATCATTTTTAAGCCAAAACAGTTAATGGCCTAAAAACTCAACTTGCAAATGTTAGGCCACCACCCCAAAATGGCTCAGAAAGTGTACAAGGTGAATTTCTGACCATTTCTAGGTCAAAAAGATTGATGGCCTAGAAAACTCATATTGCAAAAGTTAGGCCACCATGTTGAAATGGCCTAGAAAAAAAAGATGAGATACGATTTTTTACAAGTATTTCCGGCGGTTAATAGTATTTTTTGTCGAATTTGTCGACAAATGCCCCCTTCGACAAATTTATCGACAAAGAAAACGACAAATTTATCGACAATTTGTCAACAAAATTTCGTCGATAAATTGTCGATAAACTACTTTCGACAAATTTACCGATAATTTGTCGACAATTTATCGACAACATTTTATCGTTTTTTATCGACAAATTTATCGATAATTTGTCAGGTAAATTTGTCGACAAAATCGGAAAATCTTTGTCGATAAGGTACACTGCTCCGAGGGAAGTGATAAAATTGGAAAAAGTACATGTCCGAATGGAGGTGAAACTGAAGGGCAGAAGCTTAGATTATTTCTTTGATTCGTTAGACTCTTTCGCGCTAAATATTGGAAAGAATTACGAGGTCAAGCCCTACTATTCCTTCGAAGATGTTTTCTTGACCCCGTAATTCTAATTAGTCTAACGCGATCGCTTGGACGAGATCACAGTCACCTTTTAGTTTGTTCTTTTGCCTGATTGATTCTTTCTAACTGTGTAGGCGGAACGATTCAAATAGAAAGAGTCTCAATTCCTTATTGCCGACTGAGAACGCTACGCCCATCTTCTTGTTTTTTTCTCCTCATGATCTGCACCGGTAACGGAAAGCGCAGAAATTGCGCTCTGCTGTTGTATGAATATGCAAGCAGACACGTTGTAGCTGGTGCCACGGTCTGTCGCGACCGAAAACCCAATAAAAGGGACTTGAAACAGATGTGATGATATCAGCAGTGGCAGACCTGATGTGGCCTCTCTTGTCTTACGGTCGTTTTTTGGGGATACTGAACGTCTCCAACGGACATTGATAGTTCTTTGACTTTTTTCGTAACCTATCTACTCTTTCTTCAACCCCATCGAGACTCCGCCCAATTTCTCTCAAAGGTATAAAATGAACCAACGAGCTTCTTTCAGTCGCAGCCACGCAGCAACCAGTGGACCTATACTACCGGTAGAGGAACAACAACGGTGAACTGGACCAAAAATGACGAACACTGGGGAGGTTCAAGCTATTGAAAATCGGGATACGATCAAGAAGATCGACTCGTTGTCAACTATGCCATATTGGTAAGTGTTTTACATAATACGGGAGCCGAAATGGCTGATATAATAAAGGGACTAATAGGATAGTAAGATTAAGCCTATTTTCTGACTCTGAATTTGAAATACACTTTCTGGGCGTCCTAATGACCCCAATCTTATCAGAAGAACTAGACGTGACTATCACAGCTACCAATGAAACGATCAAATACTGATCTATCAGTACCAAATGTTGACCGTATTCACGTGATTGTCACTGCCTTCATGCCGCGTCTAAAANNATGTGCTCAGGAATTTCCAGTTGGGAGAGTTTAGCGATACGCTTGATGGATTCGTATCCCATGATTGGCATGATTCCAGGAATGATTGGTTTGGTGATTCCGATTTCACGGCAATCAGCCACAAACTTCTCGAAAGTCTCTGGTTCGAAGAACAGTTGGGTGATCACAAAGTTAGCTCCGGCATCGCATTTAGCTTTCAAATACTGAAGATCAGCCTTGTACGAAGGGGCTTGTGGATGTCCGAGTGGGTATCCAGCGCAACCAATGGAGAAGTAGTCTCCGTATTCCTCACGAATCCAACGGATCATGTCGAGAGCACGGAATTGGTTAGTATCCTCGAGCTCAGTCTGAAACATGAAAATGAAAAATGAATTAGAAACGATGCCGCAACACACCCCTGGAGGTAGATCTCCTCTGAGAGCAAGAATGCTTCTGAGTCCCATCGCCTTGGCTTGTTCGAGATGCTTCAAAGTGTCAGCCTTGTTGTACTGGACACATGTCATATGCAACATGGTATCCACTCCACAGTAGTCGAGCATGGATGCAGCAATCGAGGAAGAGGATGTGACCTTATCAATATTGGCAGGGTCACTTCCCATATGCCAAGTCATGTCAACGAAGACAGATCCTCCTTCTGAAAGTCGCTCAACACGTTCGAGGAAGTTTGGAACACCATTCACGAAACGTGGTGGGAAGAATTCCAAGGAGAAGAATGGAGTCTTCTCCTCGATCAGACGTTCGATCCTTTCGTGAAGAAGCTCGTAATTTCTAAAAATCTGAGTTCAAAGGAGCAATATTTAAAAAAAAACTCACTTCAAAGACCAACTCTTACTAGTTTCAAAAACCGGCTTCTCAGTAACCACAGCATTCTCGTCGCCGCTATCGATACCACTGAAAAAAAGTACTTGAATTGTATTGATCGAAACGGTAAGACCTACTTTACGCGTAAAATAGCCATCTTTCACAAGAGTCTATGATGGACGAAGAATAAGACTAATGAAGAAGATGGTGGAGAAAAAACGGGATTATAAGGGGGAGTAGTGTACATCTCTTCCAGGATCATGTGACATGATATGAATCTCGGGAGAGAGAGAGAGAGAAGAGGGACATAACTAACAGTCATTGTACTTTGTCTTACTCTGATTTATTTTTTACTGATTTTTCATGTCTCAATTGGTACAAAACTTTCTTTTTTTTAACAGCTCGCAATAAATAAGATATTTTTGAATTTTTGAACACTTCCTAGCATCTTTTTGTTCTAAGCAACCCGTTATTATCAATGCTTCATCTCTGTTATGCGAAATCTTGATACGAATTTCTTGTCCGTTGTTTTTCGGAATCTTTCTCATCGTTTTCTTTTGTTCCGATTCCGCCAAAGATACCTATGGTTTTCCACACAAAACATGGAAAAAGCGATAAGAATCGAATGTGATAGATCAGTTTTCGATCTTCCTCCCTAGTGCAAAGGATACTGTGTCGCAATGAACTAATAGGGTTTTTTGTTGATAACGAATAGACATCTTTTGAACTATGACATGTTCGTCGGGGTTGATAAGATAAAAAGAGGTGAGAACCAAGAGTTTTAGGGGAATATCATAGATTGAAAAAAAGCTCAATTATTACTTCATCTTGATTTTTATTCTATTAACCTATTAAGCTCAACTTCGAAAAACTAGAGGTGTTCCAGTCATGATGCCGCGNTTANAAAGATTTTTTAATGGCCTATTTACTGTAAATATTATTGTAATGGACCGGGCCGAGCTTTTTTTAAATTTTCACGGCTCATATATTGAAGTGGAAAATCAATGAAAAATTTGTAGAAGCTTGACTTTAAACCAGCTTATAGATATTTCAAGCTTGACTAAAAATACTTCTTCAGAAAATTTCAAGCATCTCACATTTGGACAAATCGCTCAACAATGCTTGGATGAAGAGCCCG